CAAAGGAGTCAGTGTGCTAAAATTTCTTCATTTTCCTTGTTTAGAATCAGAGGTGCTAGTTTCAAATACTTTTTAGTCTGAAATCTGTATGCTAGATATTGAATAAGGTGGTTTTATTGTTTTTTGTCACTTTGAATAATATTTCTGTTCATGTTAAAAACAAAATCAACTCTCTGTATAAATATATCAGGTGACCGTTAAGGCCCATGGGCCTCTTGTCATTATATTTTCATCACAATCAGTATATTTCAAGTTATTACCCCTTTGAGAAAAATCTAGGAATCTGATTGGTTGAAAACTACAGTGTACCAAACCGCATTCATAAATCTCAGGGGGTATACGAAAATCTCAGGGGGTATACGGTCAATTCACATGATTGTACCAAACCGCATTCATAAATCTCAGGGGGTATACGAAAATCTCAGGGGGTATACGGTCATGTCACATGATTCTCAGCAGTAATACGGTGGAGTCGCATGATTTTACAAGGGGTATACGGGTCACGTGTCTTTGTATCTTGCGGGAGACAACTCGCATTCTTGACGAATGTAGATCTGCCTCGCTGTTTACAAAATGGCAAAACGTTTCGCTTCGCATACTGAAAAGACTCAAAGGGGTAATAAATTCGTTACACAGATTTCTGGCAGGGTATACGGGATGGTATGACCCTAAAGGGTTTTGTATTTCCTTCTGCCTATCGGCCTCATCTGTGTAACTAATATTATTGTGAATTAAATAAGCAATTATTCTAGCAAATAATTTCTTGTTTCAGAGTTGTTTAGAGTACCTGGGATTCTGAGGAAGGTGGAGGAGAAACTTGGGAGTGACGACCATTCTGGAGAGTTGGGATGCTGCGACTGCAGACACAGGTCTCTAAACTCTGTAATGGGGCAAGGAACCAGCTGCTGTCAGAAGTAGGGGCCACAAGCAAGCCCTGCTATGGCTTCCGACTTCCAAAGGGGGTGGCACCCTACTCGGCACAGACTGCTAGTGCTGTGATCAAGACTGATGAACGGGTGATAAAGAAACTCATGGTGGCCAATAGAGGTAACAATAATAAGTCACACTGACTAATTAATTGTTTTACCTGTAGTTTATGATGTTAACTTTAACGATGTAAAATTTGAAACTCGGCTTTCTATTTATGGTATCTAGGTATACCAGCTTGTGTCTGCCACCTGTTGCCATTTTTCCCCCAAATCAATACATGTATACTTAATGTATGTGTTGTTATTCACAGTATTGTACAGGTACTGATCGTACCTTGGTCATTGTTAACATTTGTAATTTACACCTGTTAAACACTACTTGAACCCTTGGATGTTATCTTTATGGCCAAAATATATATATTGCAACAAAAAATTCCTTCAACAAACAGTTGGGGTTGTCTTTTTGTTAAAACAACTCACTAAGGCGATATATATCCTTTTTCCGTGACCACCTTGTTTGATTGTCAGAGGTACGTGTTATATACTGGACCATTGGAGAGGCCTGCCTTCTTACATATTCCATTTATTACTCATTGAAGTTAGTTTTCCTTCCTCCCTGTGCTTCATGGTTGACTGTCTTAAAGCTGACTGGCCATCAATTATTTAATTATAATCTGGGATACACAAGAAATAGACAGAAATTATCAAAGACTTGGTCATATTTACAACCCTAATATGTACATGTTTGTGTGCCTATGTTTGGTGTGTAGGTACAAGAGTTGATTACAGGGTATTACTGTAATGTTCGGTTGTACTAGACAGATAGTAACAGATGAGGTGAGCTCCGTTATAAAGTGCTGTAGTAGTGGGGTATTTAATTCTCTTCACACCTGTCTGTATCTGATCAATACCACTTTACAGACATCATCATCAAACAGCAGTGCCTCTGTACCAGCACGCTGAGGCCCAGACACAAACGATTGTTTAGGAGCCTCTACTCCACCACTCCATATATACCAGTGAAAGCTCAAATCAATAAATACCCCATCAGGACAGCGCTACAAATAGATTACTCAATTCTTCATTTTTTTCTCACGTCACAAATCTGTTTTTGGTAGCTCGTGTTTGCTGATCCTCAATAGAAAAATTAAATCAACTTGTCTTATTGTAAGTTGACATTCAGTCAATGTTTAAACCATGATGCTGTGTATGTATCGGGAGTGTTTACTTTATATGTGGTGAAAGTCATCTAAGGTCAAGTTATTGAAACATCACATTGTAGCATATTGATCTTCTTATCCAGAGATAGATACTGCTGCAGAATGATTTGATTATGAAACCAACAGCTTTACTTAAGGATGCTTGGTCAATGATAAAAAATATATGAACATTGCATTTAGAATTAAATAAAATTGGATGGGACAGTAAACACAATGGTTTGTAATTACCTTCATTTAATACCACTAAAGTGCAAACTAAAATACCACTGTAAACTGCAGGCTTTTAGCCCTACCAAACGTATGACCTCAGGAGTTTAAGGATCATCAGTCCAGCATGGTGGAAGGGTTTTGACTGAATTTGCCATAGGTAAAGATAATCCCAAGGCTAGGGGAATTTAAATTCAATGGTGTGTAAACGAAGGGTGTATCCCCCTACCCCCACCCCAGGGGAGCATATGGGTGGGACCCAGAAGTGGGATTAATGTTCAAACTTTTCCTAAAGTATGGATGACAGATGTTAACCTTATTTATCTTGAATCTCCCATGGGCCGGGGGAATTTCATGAAAAATGTGCCCCAACCCCACTCACCCTAATAGTTTGAGTTGGATTTGGCTCAAAATAGGAAACGAAGGTTAAGTTTGAATAGGAGACTCTATGATTAGAGTGATAATAGGATTTTAATCTCATTTGCAAGAAGACTGTGATGGCCAAAGTAACTTGATGTTTTATAAGAAACACAGTGACACCCCTGGGTGCGGTGTGGCTGGGCAGGATGGAGTCCAAAAGGGGTAATTTTGTAAGTAAATGTTAAGGGATTTGAACCTCGACCATTTCACATNGGGGGGGGGGGGGGGGGGGGAGTTTAAGCTCATCTAACATGGGTAACTCTGAAGAAGGGGATACAGTGTTTTAAAAATAAAAAATGTGAAGCTCAGAACGCAGAGCTTAATAAGGGATGTACAGTAAAAGCATTCCTGAATCAGTGAACATTATTAATTGTATTTTTCTGGCAGAATTGAAATCAATTTGGCTGCTTTCTGCTTTGATTGACTGAGACATCTTCATTCTTCAACTTTTCAATTTCTGTCTGGCTGATTGATTAAAAGATACCTCCCTGTCTTCTGATTTGACTGATACACAATATCATCAGATCAATTTTAACCAAACATCCTACATGTTTCTATCATTGCTTTTACCAAATGCTATTTACCCTGGTATGTAAAGTTATACTGGAGGTTTTGTTAATAAGGCATAATCCAGATAGCCAGGGTTTATTTGCCCTACAGTTAAGGAGGGCACATGCATTGATGTACAGGTGTAATTTAATAACAAGGCATGTTTACGTTGCTTACAGTTCCCTTTTTTAGTAAAACAAATTAGAAGATTTATCAGGTTACTTTTAAACCTGGTAGCTATATATTGGATTTACCACAATATGTATAGATATGCAGTTGACAATCTCTTTATGCTCTGATAATTTTACGAGTTTGTGACAAATTTGTGTCTGTGTTTACAAAAAAACCTGCAAAGACATGGATGTATTACGTGTCTGTGGCGTACGTGCATCAATCAGTAATCAATCAGTATGATGATAATCCAACATGGCCTTTAACTGTAATATCTTTTTAAAGATGATTTATTTCAACATTATGCAGTAGGTTTGTCATATAATATATACATGTTATGACTAGACATACATATATTATGATATATTATTGTCCCTCTTTAAATCTTTTAAACATTTAACTGTAACTGTTTTTGACTATTTGTAAACTTTTGAAAATAATGCAAAGAACTTTGAAACTTTTCTGGAGTATAACTTCTTTATTAATAGTCTTGGTCGCTGGTCGCAATGCCATCGATTTTTTTTCCCTTTCAGTCATTGGACTGTTTAGAGTAAACATGCAATTTTCTCCAACCCTTTCACAGGTATGTGTCCAGTAAAGATTAGCTTGTAGGGAAATAGCCTCTTGCAAAAAATCATGCTATAGTGGGAACCGTGAAGGTATTGGTCTATAGAACAAAGACCCATACGGACCAATACCTGAAATTCAAATCTCACCAGCCTTTGCACCAGAAGCTAGGCGTCGTACGCACATTGCTCAACAGATGTGATACTCTAGTCACAGAACAACAGGACAAGACACAAAAACAGACTCGCATCGCTAGGGCAATGAGAACATGTGCATATCCGGAATGGGCCCTAAAACGGGTACAAAATAAGGGGAAGAACAAGAAAAGGCCAATCAAGGATAAGAAAAAAAACAAAGGTCGAAGTGGTCATCCCGTATGTAAAGGGTGTCATGGCATAGCAACAGCCATGAAGCCCTACAAGACGCTTCGCCATATCCTAGTACACCCTAAGGATAAAACACCTAAAGAAAATGTTGCAGAATGTGTATATAAAATCAGATGCAAAAACTGCAACACGTCGTATATATATTTGAGAGACTGGAAGGCGATTTGGGGTCCGCCTTGGTGAACACCGGAAAGATACAGAAACCCAAAAAGGTAGGAAATTCACCAGACCAGGAAGCAGTAGAAGTCCCAGATAAATGATTTGGCAATCACAGACCATGCCACACAATAAAATCATGTGATTGGACAGAGAAAGCAATCTGTTCAAGCGGCAGATAAAGGAAGCAGTGAGACAATTATAAAAGTGAATGGCAATATCCATGTGTGATATGTGCTTTTGTCAACAAACAGGCCAGAAAACTGTCAATGTAGGCGTGACTGAAATAATAGGATTGGAGAAAAAAAATCCTCTACCTTGAGGGTTTGACAGAGATACCCTAATTTAGAGCCTCAGGTTAGACAACCAAAACTAATCACTGCTTGGTTTGTAGACTTCTCTGTCACACTCTTAAGGTAGGGACAGATTTTATTAGTCAAGCTACTAGGTGTGTAACACTGACCTTCAAAGGCTAAAAATAAACACTCATCAATACGCATTTCTGACCTCACTGAGGTAACTCTCTAAAACTTACAAGATATCAACAAAATGTTCTTAACCTCCTTTTCATGTAATCAAAAGACTATGATAATATAATAATGTAGATCTGTCACCAGAAGCTCATTGTGTTAACAAAGTATTCCATCAGACTTTGGTGTTAGCAAAAGTTTACCAAATATATCTGAGGAAGATTTTTTTTATCTCAGGAATATAAAATAGAGACTTTAAATGAAAACTAACACTAAGAGTGGTGACAAATAAAATGAAAGGTACCGTCTATCGGATTTTACTGGCATAATTAACTCATACAGGAATAATACTACAAATATTGTATCTTTAGCTCATTAAAATAAAAAAAAATGTGATCTTTTTGTAGGTGAAATTGCCATCCGTGTGTTCCGAGCATGTACGGAAATGAATATTCGCACTGTGGCGATCTACTCGGAGCAGGACATGATGCACCTACACCGACAGAAAGCAGACGAGTCATATATCATCGGCAAGGGTCTTGCTCCAGTGGCGGCTTATCTCAACATCCCAGACATCATCAGGATAGCCAAGGTCAGTCATGGTCACCGCATTTAGAAGCTATTCTTTAACAGTATATTCTATAAATTTTGGGAAATAAAAAGATGTATTCTTATATGTACATAATCTCCCACTTCTCCAGGTATCACAATGTAATGAAAGCCTTAAGATTAGATGATCACATTTTATCACTATGACACTTTATCTTATTATAGTTGGTTTAGTGTTGTGTAACCTGAACAGAGTTATGTCCCCTGGCCATTATCTCAAGAGTTGCCCAAACACTTATTGAGTGACGAGTTCTTATGTTACGACACACTAGAGTACTTAAATTGTAAGAGAATTGAAGTTAACCAGCTTCAGCTAGATATTACCTTTGTCAAAACTATATATTCCTTATGAACTTGAATACTTTGCTATTTTTAGCCCACCATCATCTGATGGTGGGCTATTCAAATTGCCCTGCGTTCGTCCTTAAACAATTCTTGTTATCGCTGTTTCTCAGAAAGTACCAGAGGGATCTTTCTCAAATTTTATATGTGGGTTCCCCTTGGTCCCTCATTGTGCAGGTTAACTTTTTAAACTGATCGAATAAAAAACATGGCCGACAGGCAGCCATCTTGGATTGTGATTTAAAGGTTTGTTATCACTATTTCTTAAGAAGAACTGGAGGGATCTTTCCCAAATTTGTTATGTAGGCTTCCCTAGGTCTTAAGTTGTGCATGTTTAATTTTGAGAATGATCAGAGAAACAAAATGGCCGACATGCCACCATCTTGGATTGTGACATTAAAGGTTTGTTATCACTATTTCTATGGAAGAACTATAGGTATCTTTCCCAAGTTTGTTATGTAGGCTTCCCTAGGTCTTAAGTTGTGCATGTTTTTTATTTTGAGAATGATCAGATAAACAAAATGGCCAACAAGCAGCCATCTTGGATTTTGACATTGAAGGTTTATTATCACTATTTCTCGGGAAGTACTGGAGGGATCTTTCTTAAATGTAGGTTCCCCTTGGTATGAAGTTATGCATATTTTCGTATGAGACTGATCGGATAAACAAATCTTTGATTTTGACAGTTAAGGTTTGTTAGTGCTATTTCCCAGGGAGTACTGGAGGGTTCTTTCTCAAATTCTATATGCAGGTTCCCCACTATCCTTTATTAATCATGTTAACTTTTGAAACTGATCAGATAAACAAAATGGCCGACCGACAGCCATCTTCGATTTTTGAAATTGAAGGTTTGTAAGTACTATTTCTCAGAGATAACTTGAGGGATCTGTCTCAAATTTGATATGTTCTTTCCCCTTGATCCCTCGTTGTGCATGTTATATTTTGAGACTGATCATAAAAACAAAATGGCTAAAGGAAGAACTATACAGATCTTTCTTATATTGAAATGATTGATTCTATTTCTTTCACATTAAGTACTGTACTAGTAACTAGTACTATGTGAAATGACAAACTCACTTTGAAGGTTGTCTTTTATACACATGAGTATTTAGTTTAGATCAAAAGTTACCTCAAGGTACATTTACTGTTAACATGACACGATCAAACAGATTAGTGAAAAGAAGAGAAAAGATCGCACTGACAAAGAACTCATAAAGATGGTACAATGGTGGGCGCCAAGATCCCTCTGGGATCTCTTGTTGTAATTGTTACAATGCAGGTCTCTGTTTTCAAAGCAAGTTGTTTGTTTTGAAAATAGACACCTTCATAGACATTTTAATTAATATGATACTTTATGATTTACCATGCAATCCTGTAGCCAATTCTACAATTCTATACTTAATCTGTTCTCGCTGTTGGTGTTGAATACATGTTCATACACACTTTTCTCATCAAGAGTTGTGTATATTGAACACTTTGTTCCTATTTCTAGGAGAATGATGTAGACGCCATACATCCTGGGTATGGATTCCTATCAGAAAGATCTGACTTTGCACAGTCAATCATAAATGAAGGGATCAAGTTTGTGGGCCCGTCCCCAGAGGTGGTACGCAAGATGGGGGACAAAGTGGAGGCCAGGCAGGCAGCCATTAGTGCAGGTTTGTCCTTCTGCTGGTCAGGACACGTTCATATCCTCAAAATTGATTAACCAAAAGAACCTTACATCAAATATATCAATGTAATTCAAAGGATAGCAGATTCACAGAATTTTATACATGCAGGAAATTAGTAAATTTGTGAATTTAGAATGAACAGACAAAGAATTTTCCTGCTAGATTTTGTAGATTTATGACGAGGTATCATTGCTATGTGTGTTTGTGTTGTAGGTGTACAGGTGGTGCCTGGGACAGACAGTCCTGTGCAGTCGGTAGAGGAAGCCAAAGAGTTCTGTAACAAGCATGGCCTGCCTGTCATCTTCAAGGCTGCTTATGGAGGGGGAGGAAGAGGCATGAGAGTTGTAAAAAGTTTTGATGTAAGTACTTTCAGTAATGGGTATAAATTAAGGTACTTCTGAGGTCACTGTCTGAGCCCCACTTGTAAAGAGTTTTGATGTAAGACAGCTTGCAGATGGGAAGGTAGAGGCAAAAAGTAGTCAAAGTTGTGGATGTAAGTGTTTTAAAGTTGCAAGCATTGAGTAAAAAGGAGCAAGATAGTTGATGTAAGTACTTTGAGGTCACAAACAGGTGTGTGTGTGTGTNGGGGGGGGGTCATCTGCAGAAGGGAAGTAAGGGTGTTGATAATTGTCAACAGACTTGATGGTAATCCTACATGGTTGGATATTGATGTGGAGGAAATGACAGGAGGATTGTCAGGAGTTTGGATGCAGTTCCTGCTATGTTAACTCATTCACCCCTGAAATTTCATAATGAACTATTCCAACCTTTGAATTGGAAGAGCTCAAATGTGTCTTCAGGGATGAATGAGTTAAACCCATAACTGGTTATTATTGTATTGTCTATTGTATTATGACCAGGTTTTATGATATAGTTTGAAAAATAAAAATGGGCAAAGAAAGTTGCCTGCACCAGCTGTTTCATTTAACTAAGACAAAATCCATATTGTTTATGTTACCAGGAGGTGGAGGAGAACTTTAAGAGAGCTTCGTCCGAAGCTGAAGCAGCCTTTGGGAATGGTGCTCTATTTTTGGAGAAGTTCATTGAGCGCCCGAGACATATAGAACTTCAGATACTTGGTAACTTAATACACTCTGAATTGTACCAATAATGATAGATCAAATAATGTGTCAGATTTTACATGGTTGCTCAAATTATTAGCAATATACTTAACTTTGAACAGTGAATAAAAAAAATAAAAATAAAAAAACCTGAAATTAATTTTGTATTATACCGAAATTAATTTTTAATTACATATATTACAAATTAAAAAATATGAAATAGAAATTTTGAAACTAAAATTTGTATGACAGCTTAATAGGAGAGAGAGAAAAAATTATGAAGTAAGTAATATGCCTTTAGTACAGTAATATACCCTTGCTCTGAAATAGGTGACCGGGATGGAAATGTGGTTCACCTGTACGAGCGTGATTGTTCTGTACAGCGACGCCACCAGAAGGTCGTTGAGATAGCCCCTGCCCCACACCTTTCCAGGATCATCCGCGACAAAATGGCTGCTGATGCTGTCCAACTGGCTAAGCATGTTGGCTATGAGAATGCTGGAACAGTGGAGTTCCTGCTGGATAAAGAGGGAAACTACTTCTTCATAGAGGTCAATGCCAGGCTGCAAGTGGAACATACCGTCACAGAGGAGGTCACAGGGTATGTGTTTTATACTGGTCAGTACTGTCTTAGAGGTATAAACTTTGTACTGATCACCTAACTCTCATAGAGGTCACAAGGTATAAACTTTATACTGGTCACCCAACTCTCATAGAGGTCACAAGGTATAAACTTTATGCTGGTCACCTAACTCTCAAAGAGGTCACAAGGTATAAACTTTATACTGGTCACCTAACTCTCATAGAGGTCACAAGGTATAAACTTAAGTCTTATTGTCAAGAAGTATATACATGTACTGTAAACTAAAATTCAGTGATTTGTGAGACATTCTATGTAAGTTAGCACATTATGTCTTGTAGGGTTGACTTGGTACAATCCCAGATAAAGATAGCAGAGGGTTACACCCTACCAGAGCTCGGTCTTCAGCAGGAAGACATCAATCTCCACGGCTACGCTATACAGTGCAGGATGACAACGGAGGATCCAGCCAAGAACTTCCAGCCAGACACCGGCCGCATAGAGGTCCAGCTGTTTTACATCTCTGTTATTTAGCTCAGAGCACTTCACATTAGGTTTCATATTAATATAAGCATAAAGCATTATGTACAACGATGTACAAGTAGCTTCAAGTAATTCTATTTTATATATGATATGTAATTTATATTGAAAGTAACTGTAGAGTAGTGCCTTATTGATCAAGCCACCACCTTACCCAACAGAAATGTCTGGAATGTATAACTACTGGATATAACTGGGACTATTTTGTATATAAAATGTGCAATCTGTCCCCTAAAACTCTTTCTGGATAGAGGGACAACAAAATTATTGGTGGCTTATTTATGAGGTTTGATAGTACAGTTTTCTATTGGGAAAGTACAGTGTCTGTCGACTGTCCATCCTACCTTGACCTTGAACAACTTTCAAAGTCACAGGGGTCCAATGAGTTATAATGTTTAACACTTGTTTTGAATAAGAGGCCTAGGATGATGATAATTTTCTGGTAGCATGCTTGGATGAAAGGCTATCAAGCTTTTCGAATGAATCATCCTTGCCCACTTTCAAGTTTATAAGGGTCAAATGTGTTAAACCTTAAAATTGCTTCTTAAAAATCAGGAGGATTATGGTATTTACTTACTCACATGCTGGAGATAGAAGGCTATCAAATTTGTTCAAATAATAACCTTGATCCATTTTCAAAGCCAAAGGGGTCAACTGTGTTAAAATCTTGAGGTCTATAATCAAATAGTAACTGTAAGAAAGCTATACATTTTGTTAAAACAAATTGGTGGTTACAGCATTAAATACTAAATACCAGATACAGGCCCATTGGGCCTAGATCATATTCACAGAAATCAGATCTTGATACATACAAAACATACATTGATATGTTATCAATTATTTCATTTGAGTTAATATTTTATGATGATTTTAACCTCCATTAGGAATTAGCTCAACTAAAGATTAAACAGTGGTTTTCAATAAAGTAAAGCCAATGCAAGGAGCATGGAGGAAAAAGAACAAATGACACTCAAGTATTCCAAATTGTAATGTTTTATTTTATCCTTTAATCTATACACACAGGTGTTCCGAAGTGGAGAGGGGATGGGTATACGTCTCGACGGCGCTTTGGGTTTTGCTGGAGCTATTATCTCGCCTTACTACGACTCTTTACTGGTGAAGGTGATTGCTCATGCCTGGGATCACTCATCTGCTTGTGCCAAAATGTTGCGGACTCTCCGTGAGTTCAGAATCCGAGGTGTGAAGGTTAGTACAACATGTATGTGTATAGTCTGTGGTCTTAACGCCTGACAGTCTATGTGGTATTAAGGTCATGATGTAGATTACTTTAATTACATGTATTTTGGTATAAGTTTGGGTTAATTTTTTCATTGATTATAACTGCAATTATAAATCCAACAACTCTTTATTAAGTAGATAAACACATACAAAGTGAAACATGGTTGGTGTCCTTGCAATAAGTAAAAAATGGTCAGTTTTGAAATCAAATTGTGCACAAAATAAACGATACCCACCAGGCTTAATGGTCAGTATTAAACTACAAAGTTTTGATTATAACTAGCATGGCGGAAAATGTGCTCTCAATCAGTTATGACTTTGCTTTCCATAAGTGGGAGTTATAAAGATTTGTGATCTGTATATTCACACTGCATGGTCTAAACTTGTTGAATTGAAACGCTATTTTCTCAGGACAAATTTTTTTGCATAAAAAAGTGGGGCCACAAGTGGTTAAGGCATATGACATTCTGCTACCACTAGCCCTCCACCACTGGGTTGTGGGTTCGAGGCCTATGTGGGTCAGTCGCCAGGTACTGGCTGTAGGTCGGTGGTTTTTCTCCAGGAACTTTGGCTTTCCTCCACCACCAAAACCTGGCATGTCCTTAAATGACCAAAGCTGTTAATAGGACGTAAAGCACATATAAACCAAACCAAAGCATAAACAAGTGGTGAAGTTATGATGGATTGATGAAGAAATCTGGATATAAACAATATTTGTTTCAGACTAACATTCCATTCCTGTTGAACGTTGTACAACATCAGCAGTTCCTGTCGGGCTCTGTAGACACTTACTTTATTGATGAGAATCCACAACTCTTCTCCTTCGAGCCGACTCAGAACCGCGCCCAGAAACTGCTGCATTACCTGGGGCAGGTGATGGTAAATGGAGCACAGACTCCCCTCGCAACGTCACAGCTCCCCTCCGACATCATCCCCTCAGTACCCGACGTTCCCTTTGGTACGTATTCTCTCCATATATGTTATATAAGTGTTGCTAAACTTTGTAAACTTTGAAATCCCCTGGACAAAGTTAACTGCATTTTGCATCACCAGTAAAACTTGATCTTTTACAGGAAATATCTGAAATATGGGTTTGGGGTATGATTGTCCACTTATTCTACAAATTGATATAATTAACAGTAAAGCTTTCAGACAGAATGCCATCAAAGTCTGTTTAGTCATAAACCCTGTTTTGTAGATATTTTACAAGATAATCTACAAGTGTTTTAGTGATATTCTAACAGAAAAAGTGTTCTAAATTACAAATTCAGTAATTGATATTCAGTATATAATTTGAAGGACTTAAAACTGTACTAGAGATCCCTTCATAAATAATGCTGTCAGCTGTTAAAGGACTGAGTTTATGTTTGAAGAAACGTCATGGAAACAGTTTCTTATTGAACAAAATACCAATAGTTCTGTTTGTGAAAAAACATAAGCTTTCAGGACTTTAATGAAGTCTAAGGATATATAGTATGAATCAGCTGCAATAATAGCTATCTCACTATACATGTGTAAAAAGTGGAAGGACATACATAGGTCTCTGATTCTGTTGCTCTCTACACTTCATCATCATGTGAAATATCTGCATTATGTTAAGTTACATGTATATAAACTTTATCCTTATGTAGAGTCAGCAGATGACATTGGCTTCTATGGTAAGACATGGTGATCACCTTGATGTAATTTGTATTAACTGTACAGCTCATCAGTAAGCTCTTCTCATAATCAAAATTCAAATATTTAAATATTTTTATTTACCTGTCAAACGCATACTTTACTAATGAACAGCTTCAATCAACGGTACAATGTTGCATAAACTGTGCCCAGCTATGAATGGCTTACTAGGGGCGTTAAAAGTTTGGTAAAAGCTATAGAAGAAAAATGTAAGGTAGAGTTTTAAAGTTATAACTGTATGACATGGGATTTCCTTGGTAAATCAGTACATTATAAGAAGTTAGATACTCCTATCCTCCCAGATTTGAATACAATTTAGGATATTGTGTCGGTAAAAAATTATAAGTGTTATTTGGAAAATGTATTAAATTAAAATCTGAACTGTACCTTTTTGGGGTCCAGTCATATATAAGATGCTCCTGTTGTTCCAGTTTGCTTGAGTCAAAGAATGATAAATTCCATGTTAATTTTCCAAATCAAATCTATTTATTAAAACATCTCAGACTCGGTGTAAGTAATGCACTTTTGTAACTGGATAGACTATGACAGGTTTATCTTAAAAAAAAAAAAAAACATGAACAGATGGTAAAATGTCTACTTACCTGTACAGCTTTACCTGTACTCTATGGTGATACCCACTGATAGGAGAGTGTTTTTGAGTGGTTTAGTCTGCCACTGCTAACATTACTTGCTGTTTTAGCTAGTTGTTTTTAGAAAAAAAGCACTGATTAGTTTTACTGTCATGACAAGTCATTGTGGGCATAGGGATCTCAATGATGTCCTTCTTCTACAGACTTCATATAGGTGGTTGTGCCTATAAACATTGTCTCTTGTCCAAGTTCATATTCCAGCCTCCTTGGTTCCAAATCAAAGGTCCCTGTCACTACAAATATAATATGTCCTTAAGTTATTTACTGCTTGTTATTGGCAATGCTACAGAAGCAATCATTGTATATAGACACAAAGCTTGGTCATCGACAACTGGTCTTAAATCAGAGGCCAATTAGGTTTCATTGAGGTTAGGTAAATACAGGTAGGTGACGACATCTCCACACACAGCTTGGTTAGGGGGTATGATTACCCATGTTTGTTAAATCTAACCTTCCTTGTGTTTATAAGTGTGGTTGCTTTTTAATCTGTGATGCCATTAAGTATAAACGTTCATTTAAATGATTGATTGATTACAGCTATCAATCGTTTTGAGATACAATCACACATGTACATGCTTGTCAAAATCAGAAATGTTAGAGGTAACTATGAAATCTAGGATCAAAAGCAAGGTCACCTTTCTATAACAAAATGATATCTGTATTTATCTTTCTACAAGCTTCATTTCTTCCATGTGACTACATTTCAAAAAATGAGATACAGTCTAGGATTGTCACATGGAAGTACAAGACAGTTCATGCTGCTCTTATTTGTAATCTTAAGTGTTGAGTTTTATTTACAAAGGTGAAAGGATTTGTAAGACTGCTGTGGCTGAAATTGTGCTGCCATTCAGCAGTATTGCTTAGAACTTATTAGAGTTGTGTACAAGTATACAATCTTTGTGAATTAACGAGGATGTAAGAGTCTTTTATGATGAGTCATCTTCAGTCTAACAAACCTTTTGTTTGCCGTTCTTGTTTGTTTGTGACTGTAGCTATTTTAGTGATTTTTTGTGGTATCGTTGTTTGCAAGGTAATATTAAGGGTTAGGATATAGATATATAAACAGGGGTTTCCATATTATTATGCACTTTTTATGAGGTNCATTTACCAATATTTTCAAATTCTTATCCATTGATGACATGACAAGTATTGTATTTCACTTAGTTTACATGCTGATTTCCACATCACATCTAAACAATAAAATAAAGCTACCAGTACCTATGATATAACTCAGGTGACCGCTAAGGCCCTTGGGCCTCTTGTTAGCTCACCTATCTGTCCGGCATCAAGGATTATATTTGGCCAGTAGCATGCTGGAATGAAGGGCTACCAAATTTGTTCAAATGAATGACCTTTGCCCATTTTCAAGGTCACAGGGGTCAAATATGTTTAAAACATTTTAACAACTTCTTTTGAATAACCAAGAGGCTTAGGGTGTTGATATTTGACGAGTAGCAATCTGTTCAAGCGGCAGATAAAGGAAGCCATCTGGATACGCCGCAGTGGGCCAGTTCTAAATATTTAAATATCATTGTTTTTGTATTATATCTATACTTTATTTTCTGAAAAATATGGAAGACATGTTGAGACATAAATAGCTTTTCTCTGGAGACAATTCTAAATTTGTGCTTGATGTGGATACCACAATTTATCAACAACACACTGAACTAAAATGCTTTTCCTTCAATAAGATATATGTATATATATATATGTATATAATTTTCCATTATGTTTACAAATTTAAGTCTTTGTCTTTCCTATTTTATCCCATCCTTATATTTTATTTTTATCTTAATCAGTTTTAAAATACCTTCAGAAACTTGCATGATTTGATTGTTGCAGTTTCAATGAAGAAAAAGCACATTTTTCATCTTTTTGTTTTTCTGTTATTTTGATAGCTTTAAAAGTTGGAAAATCTTTAATACATATTAAACACATATTGTATAATTATTTTTATTCGATAAAGAAAAATGGCATTACTCAAAACAGTTGCTCCTACATATATACATATGCTGCAGTATTGGCAAAAAATGGAGGGAAAAAACCTGTATGAAAAGTACATGTTATTGAGGGAAACAAGACTCTACCCACAGTGATGTACTCCATGTATGATGTACAATCTTTGTGCTACCTGACCATGAAACATTCAGAGTTTTGACTTATTACATTTCAGAAATGCAAGATTTGTGTAAGTTCGAATATACTTAAGAATTTTCACTAAACACTATATCTCAAGTATTTCATTATAATACAACATTCTATAGCACCTCTGATATAAAACTTTGAGCTTATTTAATATGACTGCGGATTCCTAAGATAGAGTGTGATTCTGAGGTAGACCTTAGTAACACAGGCTTCATTAACAGCTTAATACCAAAATCTAATAGGATTTATACATCACTAGCTTTCTGGTGGACTGTATTTTATCTTTATTTATATATTTGTTTTTTTTTATCAGTCACATCAGACATGACTTTAATTTCCTTTTTATTTTGGTTTGAAGTTATTAACTAGGTCCATTTACTATCACATGCAGCTTCTAGTCAACACTCGAACAACAATGTAAAGACTTGGTTCAAATTCTAGAATAAAGATGTTTTTATTTCAAATGATCGACACCTGTTTAACTTTTTTAAGTCAAAAGATAAGAAAATAATCAGTAAGACAGAGAGCCAGTCATGAGGCCCTCTCTATGTACCCAGTCCAGTTCCACTACATTCTCCTTCCATCAATAAAGTCTTCGAGGCTGAAGACACATGAAACCCTTTACCATCTTCTATGGGTATATCTTATAAGGCACCAAATGTAGCAGGAAAGACAAAAAAGGCAAAGGCCAGATTGGATTCTTACCCGAGACATTTGAACTCTTGGCCGACTTTCTTATTGTAAACTGAGTAACCTGGTCAGAGTTAAAAGCATAAATAAAATGTTTGTATGTGCACCTTAGGAAACACTTTTAAGTTGCATCTATTGAGCTTTTCTTTCAGATGAAATCGTCAGATATTATAAAATAGGGACAGTTTAGCAAATTCTCGGGTTAAAAATGCCCACTTTTTGGGTCCAAAGTAGGTAGAGTCGGCAAGTATGCAGCGATCAACTCCGTCTAATTCCACTTCCACCACATCTGCATTAAATGTTACAGAAAGTTGTAACCATGGCAATGAACTGTACAATAACTGACTAACACTTTAAGAGTACTTTACCTATAACCTAAATACATGTATACAGTTTACTGTGCTGTTCATTTGATTTAAATATCTAGTCTGACTTTATTTTAGCCATATAGAAAATATTCCTAATCTAGGAAGCTTTTCACCATAGCTTTCATTCTGTTCATTGAGAAATTCCATGTGGTCAGGGAATCTATAAATCTTAAGAATACAGGTTTTTATCCTGGCAGATATAATTAAGAAATGGTTCTAATATAACCATGATCATTACCATATTGTAATATCTTTTTATTCAGTGATTTGTAGAGTAGTTACTGCTTTCTGTAGACTTATATAATTCTAATACCCGGTAATCACTAAAGGAGTTACTGCACCTCACACATCTATCAGCTATCAGTTAAATGAGTGTACACCTTGATGTGTTTTGAGATCACTCATGTTTTGTTGTTTTTATAACATTAATTGGTAGAAAAAGGATGTGGTTTTGTATTGAGTGATAATGACTGATTTACCTCCCCTGTAACAGTGAAGTCACCACCTGCTGGATGGAGGGACGTGATTCTGAAGGAGGGGCCTGAAGGGTTTGCTAAGAAGGTTAGACAACATGAGGGGCTGTTGCTTATGGATACGACCTTCAGAGATGCTCATCAGTCACTACTGGCAACGAGGGTGAGAACCCATGACCTGAAGAGGATTGCCCCGTATGTGTCTCACCGGTTCAACAACTTGTACAGCTGTGAGAACTGGGGAGGTGGGTCACACACTACAGTATAATTGTATTTATTATACAGGTACATACAGTTCTGTTATACAGCACCCATAGATAAACCGATAACAGCAAGTACTGTTACACAGGAAAGTTTTAAAACTTTTCATATCTTTCTTCTAAAAGACCTGCATACCATCGCTAATGTTAAAAGATGTTTTAGGTAGATATGGTCTGAAAAAAAGTTATCATTTTTGTCAATCAGATTAATAAAATCTTTCATCCTCCGGGGATGAGATAGGGGGATCTCAACCCGAGAGGGGAAGATTCTTAATTTGCCAAACACGAGGCTTTGCCGAGTGTTTGGCAACTTAAGAATCTTCCCCCGAGGGTTTAGATCCCCCTATCGCATCCCCGGGGGGTGAATGATTATTTTTCTCTTACCCTGTTGTTCCTGTCCAAGTGTAAGATGAAGCATATTGTTTGTAAACAGGAACACGTGGATAGCGTATTAATATTATATGTATGCGTCAAACGGTTCACCATCATATTTTAAACATTTTAAAATCAATCCCATCTTCTTTGATGTCAAATGTAAACACGACAAGATTAGCAGACGAACTTGTGTATGTGTGTGACCTCATAAAAGTAGTTCTTCTTCTGGGTCACATCAGTGACGTCAGGTTTATTGTGGAGAACGTGCAAAGAGCACGTGTAGCTTGTCTCAACCCTAGGGTGAGACAAGGAAATCTCACACCGGTAAAAGTAAGGATAAATCTGTCCAGGGTAAGAGAAACACATATCTTGTATTCTGTAAGATATTGTGTTGGAATTACTGGTTTAGTAAATATGTATTATCTGTGCATCCTTCAGGTGCCACATTTGATGTAGCCATGAGGTTTCTCCACGAATGCCCGTGGGAAAGACTTGCAACCCTGCGGAAGTTGATCCCCAATGTGCCATTCCAGATGTTACTTCGTGGAGCCAACGCTGTGGGCTATACCAACTATCCTGATAATGTGGTGTACAAGTAGGTATCCTGACCATATAATGTTTATGTTGTAGCCATTCATCATGTCATACAGTCGTTATAGTTCCCATAGACAGCCTTTATGAACAGGTTACTAACTTTCTGATAGAAAGATGGACATACTTAGAGTATTATTATTAAACTTCTGTTTTAACATATACGTTAATGCTTAAAATGTTAAGTGAGACGAAACAGGTGGAAGACTATGGTAGAGTATAGACAGTCTCAAAGCAGGTGTCGGTGTAGTCAGTAACTATGTTGCGAGTGAAATACAATTACCGGTATGTCTATCACAAACAAGTACCAAAAGGGTAGAATATCATATACTTGTGACAGTACAAAGTACATGTATGTCCAGGTATTGGTAGGTGTGGTACACACATGACAATACAAAATATGGCCAGGTATTGGTAGGGGGCGTACACACATGATAATACAAAGGATGGCCAGGAATCTGTAAGTGTCATACACACATGACAATACAAAGTATGGCGAGGTATTGGTAGGTTGACAATACAATGTATGTCCAGGTATTGGTAGGTGTCGCACACACATGACAATACAAAATATGGCCAGGTATTGGTAGGTGTCGGACACACATGATAATACAAAGTATGGCCAGATATTGGTAGGTGCCGTACACACCTGACAACACCAAGTATGGCCAGGTATCTGTAGGGGTCGTACACACATGACAATAGAAAGTATGGCCAGGTATTGGTAGGTGCCGTACACACCTGACAAAACAAAGTATGGCCAGGTATTGGTAGGTGTCGTACACACATGATAATACAAAGTATGGCCAGGTATTGGTAGGTGCCGTACACACATGACAACACAAAGTATGGCCAGGTATCTGTAGGTGTCGTACACACATGACAATACAAAGTATGGCCAGGTATCGGTAGGTGTCGTACACACATGACAATACAAAGTATGGCCAGGTATTGGTAGGTGTCGTACACACATGACAATACAAAGTATGGCCAGGTATTGGTAGGTGTCGTACACACATGACAATACAAAGTATGGCCAGGTATTGGTAGGTGTCGTACACACATGACAATACAAAGTATGGCCAGGTATTGGTAGGTGTCGTACACACATGACAATACAAAGTATGGCCAGGTATTGGTAGGTGTCGTACACACATGACAATACAAAGTATGGCCAGGTATTGGTAGGTGTCGTACACACATGACAATACAAAGTATGGCCAGGTATTGGTAGGTGTCGTACACACATGACAATACAAAGTATGGCCAGGTATTGGTAGGTGTCGTACACACATGACAATACAAAGTATGGCCAGGTATTGGTAGGTGTCGTACACACATGACAATACAAAGTATGGCCAGGTATTGGTAGGTGTCGTACACACATGACAATACAAAGTATGGCCAGGTATTGGTAGGTGTCGTACACACATGACAATACAAAGTATGGCCAGGTATTGGTAGGTGTCGTACACACATGACAATACAAAGTATGGCCAGGTATTGGTAGGTGTCGTACACACATGACAATACAAAGTATGGCCAGGTATTGGTAGGTGTCGTACACACATGACAATACAAAGTATGGCCAGGTATTGGTAGGTGTCGTACACACATGACAATACAAAGTATGGCCAGGTATTGGTAGGTGTCGTACACACATGACAATACAAAGTATGGCCAGGTATTGGTAGGTGTCGTACACACATGACAATACAAAGTATGGCCAGGTATTGGTAGGTGTCGTACACACATGACAATACAAAGTATGGCCAGGTATTGGTAGGTGTCGTACACACATGACAATACAAAGTATGGCCAGGTATTGGTAGGTGTCGTACACACATGACAATACAAAGTATGGTCAGGTATTGGTAGGTATCGTACACACATGACAATACAAAGTATGGCCAGGTATTGGTAGGTTGACAATACAAAGTATGGTCATGTATTGGTAGGTATCGTACATGACAGTACAAAGTATGGCCAGTTATGGGTAGGTGTCGTACACGCATGACAATACAAAGTATGGCCACGTATTGGTAGGTGTAGTACAAACATGACAATACAAAGTCTGGCCAGGTATTGGTAACTTGACAATACAAAGGATGGCCAGGGATTGGTAGGTGTCGTAAACCCATGACAATATAAAGGATGGCCAGGTATTGGGAGGTGTCGTACACACATCACAATACAAAGTATGGCTAGGTATTGGTAGGTGTGGTACACACATGACAATACCAAGTATGGCCAGGTAATGGTAGGTGTCGTACCCACATGACAATACAATGTATGGCCAGCTATTGGTAGGGGTCGAACACACATGACAATACCAAGTATGGCCAGGTATTGGTAGGTGTCGTACACACATGACAACACAAAGTATGGCCAGCTATTGGCATTGATTGGAGGCAATATATATACAATAAGTGTTTTCCTTCAGATTCTGTGACTTGGCTGTACAGCACGGTATGGACATCTTCAGAATCTTTGATTCCCTGAACTACATGCCAAACATAATTGTTGGGATGGAGGCTGTCGGAAAGGCTGGTGAGTACGGTTATAGAATGTGTTACTCTCTACATCCATGTAACATAATTTTGTTCTTTCTTGAGAGGTGAAGATTCAAAGTCTATGTAACTACAATATTTATCAGTGTACTTTCTGACATGTAGTTTCAGTGTTGTGCTTGACACTTTTGTCGTGTAGGGGGAGTCCGAATGTTGTATGTGACATTTGATTCAAGTCAATGTTGTGTGTAACACATGTTGTGGTAGGTGAAGACTCAATGTTATGTGTAACACATGTTGTGGTAGGTGAAGTCTCAATGTTATGTGTAACAGATGTTGTGGTAGGTGAAGACTCCATGTTATGTGTAACACATGTTGTGGTAGGTGAAGAGTCAATGTTATGTGTGACACACGTTGTGGTAGGTGAAGAGTCAATGTTATGTTTGACACATGTTGTGGTAGGTGAAGACTCAATGTTATATGTAACACATGTTGTGGTAGGTGAAGACTCAATGTTATGTGTAACACATGTTGTGGTAGGGGAAGACTCAATGTTATGTGTAACACATGTTGTGGTAGGGGAAGACTCAATGTTATGTGTAACACATGTTGTGGTCGGTGAAGACTCAATGATATGTGTAACACACGTTATGGTAGGTGAAGACTCAATGGTATTTTTGACACATTTTGTGGTAGGTGAAGACTCAATGTTAAGTGTAACACATTTTGTGGTAGGTGAAGACTCAATGTTATGTGTAACACTATTTGTATAGGTGGTGTAATAGAGGCTTCCATGTCCTATACTGGTGATGTGTCTGACCCCACCAGGACCAAGTACGACCTCCAGTACTACTTAAACATGGCTGACGAACTTGTCAAGGCTGGCACACACATCTTAGGTGTTAAGGTCAGTATACAGGATCAATGCCAGTAAAAATACAGAAAACAAAAGATAAGTACATAAATAATCAGGGTCAGGTGTATTGTACTGTCTCAAAGTTATGGCATTATCATTCAGTACATAGCCAAACAT